CCTAAATCACAACAGCAGTCATCTCAAAACAAAACCGTCAAAATTGCCAACACAGATCAGAGAATCAATAGTTAAGATAAGAAAATATAGAACACATACAGTATGTATTGGTCCATAGGGAGATACAAATGTCCATACATGTTGTAGAATGTTAAAGTGTCCTGGATCATCATCACAGTCCTTCTAGTTGGACACTAACTGTCCAACAGACCCTCCTGCATCTGCACGGAAAAACTCACAAAAACCCAGTGGGAGAAAAGTGAGAAACCTCGGGGAGATCCACATTGAGAGGGATCCGCTCCACCAAACGGGTTTCCTTATTGTGAGGATACCCATTTGGTCTCATTATAATGTACAGTGAAACCCCAAAGTGTACTTTCCTGGATCCAATATTGCACAAGCAGCTGTGTTCAGCCCAGTCGTTTGTCTGTGGGGCTTTGAAGAGGAGGAGGTTCTGCAGCTGTGACTAAAGACCGGTGTGAGAGTCCAGAAGAAGGACAAAGAAAAGGATGGCGTTGGATGAATGTGTTTTAAAGCCAGAGATGTTATTTTTGTGGCCACCTTTTGGAAATTATGAATGAGAACACCCAAACGTTAGAGGTTGAGCTTGTATGTGGAGATCTGAAACATGCAGCTGATGCAAGGAGGCCCAGGAATGTACTTTTGCCAAGAAGAATGAGCAGTTTTACCATCAAAGGATAAAGAACCTTATCCACTGCCACCACACAAGACTCCAAGCTGTCATTAATGTTAAAGGAGGCATGCTATTGAGAACTATGGGATTTAAACACCTATAATCAGGGTCACGTGTAGTCTCTGTTGTCACTCTAGTTCGGCTGCTAACAATGAGGTGAACAATAACCTTTTCATTTGTATTCTCACAAATATGGCCAATAAAAATCTAAACAGCCCTATCGCAGTAACAATGTGTAATGCTATTGGAGCCACAGCTGCCTGAGGTAGAATGACAGAATCAAGGCTGTTAATCTGCACCATCAGAACCTCAAACAGTCACGCACACCTCAGTACAATCAGAAGTAATGTGCTTAAGGGCACAACGGAAATCAGGCCCCATCTTGCTTAGCTTCAATAAGTGTAGACATCTATCTGACAGAATCTATCAAACTGAGCTTATTGGAGGCTGTAGAGATCCAGGTGCAGGTGTGGCAGTAGGCTTCTGGTGCACACTGGGGTTAGCCTGGTTTTACCATACCCTCGTACTTGTTTCGTACAGAGGGTCTGGACTTTCTCAATTGAGCTCCGTTTACAAGTGGGAGGGGTGAACTTTGTTTAAAGTTTGAAACGATTGGATCTGATTTTATCCAATCACTAGCGTTTGGTTGTGACGTATGTTATGCGCCCGAGTGAGTGACGCAAGCTATCATAACTCTTGGGGGCAGCCTTGTGCATTCCTGCATACAGCATGCCGGAAATTTCAAGAAGAAGAAGAACACCACATGTGAAACATTAGGGAAATTCAGGCCCATTCCCAAAGCTGTTGTTGCAACTACTACACGGCAATTCCCTTGCCCCCTCAGTGAAGCCAACACTCTGTCCTTGTTTTGGGGGAGGGACTTGCTGTGAAACATACCTATCAGGAGGTTCTCACGTTTATGCTCTTGATCACAGTCTACCCAGGCGTACTGTTGCAGTTCCCCCTTGAAGTAAGAAAAGACCCTCCCCACTGTTGTCATTTTTTGACAGTAAATAAGTACAGGCTGCATGGTTGAGCCCTTGTCCTTTACATGTTGCACAATCCAGTCTAAGCAGTTCAGTTCATTGCTGGGCACCTTGCGCAATCCAAGACGGATGTTGGTCTTGTTAGGGCTAGCGATGCTGTGAACAGCACTGTCCATATGAAGTAGTCTAGTGACTCGGTTTCTGGATTTGATGTCAGCAGAGGCAGTCAACGCCAAGAAAGGTGTACCTGTCAGACAAATTTACAAAATTAAAATATATCACCCACATTTACATTAACAGTATTACTAATATGACATGTATTGATGACAGTGTGTATTTGTGTGTGGTTCTTCTGCCTGTGTCTTGCTCTATAACACTAGCTGCAGTGCATGTACTGTGGTGTCTGACTTAAGATAACACTTTATTGTTCTCACAATGGAGAAATGTACTTGTTACAACAACTCTTAAAAAAAGAAATCATAATTGTAAAATAAATGTCCCTTAGAATCTACCTATAAAAAAAATGTATAAACTGAAAACTACACTTGCACAGTGGGGTTGCCGGGGACTGAGAGTTGGCTACATAGTGGTTATTCTTACCAGTTTGATCTTTTTCTGGAACTATAAGATTGCAGCATTTTTCATGTCTCTTACTGCATGTTTTTTAACTTCCTTTTACTGAATGCACAGTACGTTTAGTACTGTACAGTCGAGTGTGTACTAACGTTACTCTTAACAACAATGCACTGAATCCAGGGCACGGATTTGTTAACATGTCAAGCAGGAACAACACAGAAAACATTCAACCCACCTTCCTTCATGATGGATCTCAGCTCACCAAGTTTAGAAAAACTCTCTCGGAATGGTGACTCGCCTTTGGACGCTTCACCCCTGAGACAAATGAAACGGAATGCAAAATTGTCATCAAGCAACAATAGTCTACCCGATTGAGTATGCAAAAAAGCCTAATTTCTGCTGTTTTAAAGTTCACTTACCATTTATATGTAACATGGACTTCATCAACGACGATGCCAATGATGTTGTCTTGGTAAACAGACGAGGTTAGCATTCGTCGCCATTTGGAGTCCAGCACTAACTCCCAACTTCTCAGCCTCCTTGACTTGATCCTCCATTAAAGCCAAAAGAGGGGAAACGACTACAACGATAGGATTAGCTTCACTAGCATTCAGCCTAGCCATCTCCTTCACCACTAACGGAGCTAACTGGAAAATAAGGCTTTTGCCGAATCCCGTGGGGAGTAAAGCCATGACATCTTTACCAGCAATGAAATTTGCTAAACATTTCTCTTGCTCCGACTTCAATTTCTGGATATTTGGGAGCAAAGCCAGAATGGATTGCAGAGCTTCGTTTATTTTCGCATATGCCGCCATTGCCAAACTACAGTGACTACAACCGGCGCAAATGCTTGACGTCACCTACATCACCCGCCTCCCCCGCTCGCTGAATGGTAGGATGAAATTCTACCGATTGAATCGCAGCCAGTGGGAGCAAACCCAGACGTACATCCCGGGAAAAAAGATTTGACCGGAGTTTACGGATGGCAAAGGCCAGGCTACACTGGGGTAGTCTTGCACAGTTTTTCCAATGTGGTTTTACTGCAAATGGAAAATACATTCTTGAATGTTGAGTACTTTGAGTTGGTGCCATATCGCTCCTGCCATTGCTCAGGAAAACTACTTTTTGATTGAGGATTGTCGTAGAACTATGACTATATGCCACTGTTGTAGATGTGTGCTGTAAATGTTAGAGTCGTACAGGTGTCACACAAATCCATTTTGAATTTATACATTCAGATTCAGATTTGGTCTACTTTATTTATCCCACCAGTGGCAATTGGTTTGAGCAGCCCAGGGCATAAAATCATGAAAACACATACAAATCATGGAAAATGTCAGGCAGTAACATAAGCGACATCATATGAAGTGGAGCCCATACAAACATCCATCCATCCATCCATTTTCTACTCTTTAATCCATTTCTGGGTCAGGGGGGTGGCAGTCAGAGATGCCACCCAAGTCTCATAGCACCAGCCCCTCACTGACCCTCTGCAGGTGGTGAGTCCACAGGAGGACGGCTGCTCTCTGAGTGTGAGCATAGCCTTGATCTTTCAGTGGGAGCTTTGGGCAAAGTGGGGTTAAGTGTCTTGCCCAAGGACACAACGACAGCAGTCATCAGTGGGAGTCGGTGGAGAAGGTGCAGAGGTGGGAATTGAACCCACGACCTTCTGGGCTTAAGGCCAATGCTCTACCAACTGAGCTACTGTCGCCCCAAACACAAACATACACGAACAAAAGCGCTTGTTAGACCCGCCCCCACAGCGTCCTGATTGGACCAAGGAATTCAAATAAGGGCCCTCAACTGTGGCCCTCAGACATAATTTTTTAACATATGAAAATAGTGAAAAAACAAATGATACAAATATACAAGTTCCAACAACAAAAATCTATATTACCCGCAAGCTACAGAGAGTTCACCAGTCTGATAGCAGTTGGGATAAAACACAGGTGTCAAAGTCAAGGCCCGGGGGCCAGATCCGGCCCGCGAGACCATTTCCAGTGACCCTTGAGATGATTTTAAATTATTATATAAAATAGCAGCATTAATGGCAATTTTACTTGTAGAGCACAATTCATACACAATGCAACTCAAAGGGCTGGATAGGCGACAATGGCATGTTATCCATTACTAAGAAAACAGCCATAACATTTAATTCCATAAGAAATGTTAAGCCAACATGTAATTTGAAGTTAGTATTATGTTAGGATTTTTACGAATCTTCAATTACATTTCTTCTTAAAGATATTAAGGAGGATTTCCCAATTTTCTTAGGAAAGGACCGCCCTCTCCACTTTTTGAACAAAACCGCCTGGTCTTATTTGACGAGCACTATCACCAAAATGATGGACAATTGGGAGGAGCAATAGTCTTGATGATCCACCCGGAAGTAGAAAATCCTCCTATACACCTTCAATATTTGGTCCAGTTTTGGTTCAGTCCACAGGAACTGAACTAATTCTAATCAGAGAAGAATGTCCAATCCAACTAATGTGAAACAAGTCGTTTTTAGATACATTCATATTCCAAAAAAATGTAATAAATGAAACCCACTTATTTTTTCAGCCCCTGACCAGCCCTTTCTTTTTATTATTCGACCCTCAACGAAAATAAGTTTTACACCCCTGGTAAAAAAGGTCTTCAGATGGAAAAAGCAAGTTATATAAAGGCTATGCCGCTACATCACAGCTTTCATTAGACCGTGCACCAACATGAAGATATCTGTTTGTTTTGTCTGATTTCAGCACGGAATCCTGGCTCTGAAGTTCATCCTGACCTTCCTGATCCCTGACGTTCCGAAACCCATCCAGATCCAATTGGCCAAACTGGAGTTCGAGTCGCTTGAAGCTCTAAAGAAAAAGGTACATGTTTTATATTTTATTGCTTGTCTCAGTTGTGAGGATTTTGGCTCTGCCTTTTTCAGTTTACCGCTTCATGTAGCAGCGTTTTACTGACTCTGAGAGATTCCAATGAAAGACGTTAAATCACCTATGTCTCATTACTGCAGCTTCACAATTTCTGTATCGCCAACTGAGCAAATATTGAGGACGGTAACTGCAGAATGTGGTAGATATTTGGAACCTGCGCATTGGCACGAAAATGATATAATAAAAATCTTACTGGCTTATCACTATTCATATTTTTACCTCACGTTTTTTGAGCTAATTTTACCTAATGGCCGTTAAATTCCAATTGCTGTTTTTATCTTTCAATTCAAATCTGCCTATATCCCCATGAATCTCAAAGTAGTCAATTCCTCAACAACAGATCAGAAAATCAAATACTTTCGAAACCAAGGCCACATTCTAGTTTTTCTGACAAAAAAGCACAGATCGAACTAAAAAATAAGTAGGAAGTACATATATGTTTTATATGGACCCTTTGTGTGTCTGAATTAAAGATTAAATAAAAATAAAATAAAATAAAAATATACTGGAAATGCAACAATAACAAACACATTTGAGCCATTGGGCCATAGATCCATAAATGAATATCCATAAATGTTAATAAATGTTCTTAAATATCCCAGATCACTGTTCTTAGACCATAATCCATCAATACAGGGAATAAAACAAAGAGATGGGTACATACATTCATTCATTTTCTTTTCAAGCACTCCACTTGAGTCCTAACTACTGTAATCAAAGTATGACATAGTTTATTCATATACTATTTCTCCTTTTGAAAAACATGTCATGAACAGGTAAATAGAATAGATGATTCGTTCCAGACTCGACTTCCTCCTCTCATCTCTCAGTTGATAACAGACGTGGTGCCCCCATCATAAAACACACACACACGGGCCTTGTCCATTAGCCCACAGCCTCTGCAGCGGCCTCAGAACCTGTCCCACACCACTTTGCAGGAGACAAATGGTGCGTCGTGGGTTAATCGACCTGATCTGATCCACAGAGGCGTGTGGAGAAGTGCTGAGTGCAGAGGCATTTGTTCCCTCCTGAAGCTTCTCTGGGCTTCTCTCTGACTTCTGCCCCTTCAGCTTTCCAACACCTAGGCAATATAACCGTCGCATTATAATTCTCAGGCTGTTTTCTCTATGGAGACAATATGCAAAGTGTTTTTATAAGACAGGAACCATTCGATAATAGTCGTTTCCCTTTATTGGCCTATTTGGATTGATTTGTGCGTGTTCGAGTCCTGCATTCAAGTAGAGCTGTTGGACTTTATGTTGATTGATTGGGTAATGGGCTCCTATTGGACCAAAATTTGACCAATTATTTTGATTGAATTTGATTGAGGAAACTAATACAGATACAAATGATCTCAATATGTGAGGTTTGTTATGTTTTTTTAGGCAGAAAATATTCTTGATTTGAATGTTTTAATATGGCTACGTTGTTTTCTCATGCTTGTTTTGCTCTGAAAATGCTCTGAAATCTGGTAAAAAAGGCCAGATATAACTGTTATAAATTCAAGAACTTTTGCCGTACCCCTTCCTACCCGCTCCTCGACTAGGGTCAAAGCTTCAGGACTTCTGCTGCTCGTCCAAAAAGTTCACTTAGGTACTTTGGAAGGTTAATAAAAATGAAGCGTTCTAAAAAGTGATTTTAAAAGTGGTGAATCTTCAACCATGTTACAATAAGATTAGCCTTTGACTTGACTTATTGGATTCATGTTCACTTTCCGTCTGGATGAATTAAGTAGAAATCCACATTAATAAATATAAACTTTCACTACAGCTTCATTTGTCAAAGTCCCTTTAGTGTGGGAGGGGCGGCTTTGGTCTAAATCTTAAATCATAATTTCAGCTCCATAACGGAAAAACATTTAATTATTTATCTGAATCATGATGCAAAAAGTCTCTAAAAACCTTGTGATGTTTTTGACAGAGAGCAAAGCAGAAAGGGTGAGTACGGCTCTGGATGTGTGTGTTGTGATTGGTCCATGATGACGTTATTTTAAAAAAAAAACAACAACAAAAAACAATTGTGACGTGAGCCATTACTGTCATTACTACTATTTTATTATTGTAGATTTGGCATTGAGCACAGTTTTATTAATTATTCTGACTTGTTCTTTTTGCTAACTTCTAATCCATCCAATCATACTGTGTAAATGTTCTTTTATAAATGATGTAAAAGCCTTTTATGTACCAATGCAGGCAAAACATGGAGTCCAAATGTTGCTACACGTTGTGCCCAGCAGTGCTCATTAAGACGCATATGGGGGGTTAGCATTGACTCTGATGGAGTGTTGCTTTGAGCATTCCAGCTGCCTGCGCTGTTAGCTTTACTTTCTTCTCTTTTATGTCTCTATAGTTTCAATAGCACTCAAAACTTCTGAAGTTTTTGTATTTCTATGTTGTCGGAGGGTTATATCCATTGTCCATTTCTGGGTTTGGGGGGGTGGCAAATCCCAGAACACCAGCATGACTTATGGCATATTTGCATTTGTCAAAAAAATAAAACAGACTGGTTAATTTTTTTTTAATAATATTGGTTTATTTTTTTTATGTAATTACACTTCAAATGCAAAACCAATACTTGACATAGACTTATTAGCCATAATTACATACAATAAAACATAAAATACAAAGTTTATATTTGTGACTCTATATCACGGTTTAACAGTGTAAGTTGAATTACAGATATATATGGACTTTTGAACAATATTCTAATTGGAGTGAAGTTTGCATGTTCTCCCCGTGTCTGCACAGGTATCCCTCCTGGTGCTCCGGTTTCCCCTACCACTAAAAACGTGTACAATAGGTCTGGCATGCGTCTCCTGTACTGGCGACTCCGCTCTCTGTGTGGAGTGGGAGACAAATGCCCACAATTGCAAAGCGCTTTGTGACTCTGGTCTGTGAAAGGCACTATATAAATGAATATTACTTACTTAATTTCCCCAGTTTCACTAGAGATATTTGTTCAAAAAGATATGTCCCCATAACTATTAACCAGGGTGAACTTATAGTGTTTTTTACCCATAATTATGTGGACTTTGTTTTTCTACTGAACCCCAGTTGTTGCTGACTCATATCAAGTCCCTTACACAAACACATGATACAAATCTGCCACAGCAGCCACCCTCTCTCTGAAACCCACATAGTCAGCTTTACCAACACACAACATTAGACATTATTTCCGACGACGTTGACAAAACGGCTTTTCAGGCACAACTCACCGTGTCCTTTGTGACTCTCCCTGTCTTTGGAAGGCGCTATATGATTAAACATGACTTCCTGACTGGAGTGGTACATTGAGTCCTGCTGTAATGTAATGAAGCTGTGTCTTAGATAACTGTACTTGTGTCAGGCCAACTGTGGTTTCCTGTCTCATAAGTATTTAAAAGAAGGGTTAAGTCACTTCTATTCTGGGGTTACGCTGCCTGCTGGCTTTGGTGGAGGAAGAATCATTCATTGTGGAAACAGTTTACATCGATTTCATGTATTTTTGAGTAGGTCTAAATAACAACAGCAGTCGTCTGGGAGGACTTTACAAGGTCGTTGATTGACAAACAACAGATCAGAGAATCAAACAGTTGGAGCATAGGAATTTATCCATAAGGGATGGATGACCAATGTCTATTAATGTAAATACATGTCCATAAAAGACCTTTAAATGTCCTGAAAGAGACATCCTATATTCACAGACTGTTCTAAACAACGTATTATTTTTTATATTTAACCCAATTAACACACAAAAATGAAAGGCCAACCAAACAATTATCAAAATAATAGCTGTATTTTGATGAAGGTATCCTGGGTTTTCCTCTCTCTGACTTTAGTAAAACTATCATTATGGATCTGGCTTATTCATATTGATATACTGCTTGTGGTTTCAAAATTATAGGAAATTATGACTGTTGTTTTAGCTTTTGTTGTTCATAAACAAAATTAAAATATATTATAATCAGCAACAAAAAGCCTCAACACTATACAGTACAGACCAAAAGTTGGACACACCTTCTCATTCGAAGAGTTTTCTTTATTTTCATTTTTTTCATGAAAATTGTAGATTCACACTGAAGGCAAACAAAATTAACTCATGTGGAATTATTTACGTACTGAAAAAAGTATGAAACAACTGAAAATATGTGTTATGTTCTCGGTTCTTCAAAGTAGCAACTTTTGCTCTGATTACTGCTTCACACACTCTTGGCATTCTCTTGATGAGCCTTAAGAGGACCTGAAACAGTCTTGAAGGAGTTCCCATGATGCTTAGCACTTGGTGGCCCTTTCGCCTTCACTCTGTGGTCCAGCTCACCCCAAAACCATCTGGATTGGGTTCAGGTCCGGTGACTGTTGAGGTCACCCATCACTCTCCTTATTGGTCAAACAGCCCTTACACAGCCTGGTATGAATCTACAGAAAGGACACTAAGTCCTTTCTTTTCATGACTATTTTATGAGAAAGTGTGCCCAAACTTTTGGTCTGTACTTGTCTGTACTGTATACACCCAGACTCTGAATCCCATACATGCACTCGCCTACAGTATACAGTATACCTCCTGAAACACGTTTTCCCAATAGTAATTCAAAGGTATCTCTGTCAGCACATTCTGTTCAACCAATCATCCACAGATCTACCATTCCACCTCCAAAGCCTAAAGGCCTGAATAATAAATGACATATTTCTGGACTTGACTTTTAATTAGAAGAAGAAGAAGCCTGCTCAGACTGCTTACTGCACAAAATTGATGCCGGTGAACCCGTTGCCCCCGATATCCCCCCACCCCCCTCCCTCTCCCTCAGCTTTCTCTCACAGCAGTCAGTGGATGGTGACAGGTCATTACTGCCTCATCCATAAGGCAAGTCTCTGTCTGGCAAACACACAGTAACTCGTGACGCATCAGGAGGAATGTGAATCAGCTCTCACCGTGTGGAGGTCTGTTGGCATGTGGCA